ATAAATTATGAAGATTTTTCACAACAATTTGATATCTTTAAAATGTTTCCTGTGATGTAAGGAATAAGAGGACCAAAGGTGCTTAGTAAGAGGCATCTCGAGACAGACACCCCCCACACACCCCCCCCACACACCCCCACACCCCCCACACACACACACCCCACACACACCCCCCCACACACACCCCCCACACACACCCCCCACACACACCCCACACACACACCCCCCACACACACCCCCCCACACACACCCACCCCACACACACCCCACACACACCCCCCCACACACACACCCCCACACACACCCCCACACACACACCCCCACACCCCCACACACACCCTGAAATACTAAGGGTTAGTGATGGTTGAGGAGCATTTAAAGCACCAGATGAGACAAGGAAACAAGGAGATTGCTTCCCACATGTGGAGTCTGTTTTTCTAAGTAATAACCATCGAAGAGTAGGCTCAGAGGATGTTATTTTAGCTGTGAGATGGAACACTGAATATTGAAGGGCTTGAGAATCTTGGGTGGTCAGGGAAAATCTTGGATGGTCAGGGAAAATCTTGGATGGTCAGAGGAAATCTTGGATGGTCAGGGGAAATCTTGGATAGTCAGGGGAAAATCTTAGATGGTCAGGGAAAATCTTGGATAATCAGGGGAAATCTTGGATGGTCAGGGGAAAATCTTGGATGGTCAGGGGAAAATCTTGGATGGTCAGAGGAAATCTTGGATGGTCAGGGGAAAATCTTGGATGATCAGGGGAAAATCTTGGATGGTCAGGGGAAAATCTTGGATGATCAGGGGAAATCTTGGATGGTCAGGGGAAAATCTTGGATGGTCAGGGGAAAATCTTGGATGGTCAGGGGAAAATCTTGGATGATCAGGGAAAATCTTGGATGGTCAGAGGAAAATCTTGGATGGTCAGAGGAATATCGCAAAAGACCAATTTTTTTCAATATTCCAAAAAACATTTAGATGTGATGACGTAACCACACCCAAATTCAATAATATTCGTAGGTTAAATCTTCTTCCCTCAATTTACTATAACAAGATGAAGGTGAAACTGGTCTGATACTCTACTTCAACTGTAGGCTTAACTGTACCTATATTTAAAATGCTTTGAATATCTGGGTTAGGTTCGGTTAACAACTACTCAAGTCCGTTCGCCTCTCCCTCTGAACCACGAACCCCCGAGAGATTCAGACTCATGGACCCAAAGCGCAGTTGACTCATTCATTATTCTATCTATAAATGCTTCGGGTTCACGAGTCTGAATCTCTTGGGGGTTCGTGGTTCAGAGGGAGAGACGTCCAACAGGACTTTATTTGTTGACTGTATATATTTGATCTGAGCAGCGGCAGTAGTATCTTGTCATCTCTTAGTACAGCTCTGGCATGTTGACTTTGTTGGTCCTTATCATCAAAATATGTCTATCATTACGATCGTTGAGGGTCGTTAGGTGAACCATTAAGCTCAGTACTTCTACCAATGAGGATGTTTGGGTAAAATACACATAGCCACCAATAGGAAGGTTGGGACTCAATATTTCTACCAATAGGGAGGCTGGAGGTCAGTATTTCTACCAATAGGGAGGTTGGAATATGTCCACCAATAGAAGGGTTGGGGATCAATATTTTGACCAATAGGAATATTTAGATCAAATTTTCCACCAATAGGAGTGCTTACCAGTCTGTTTCACTCACTCTACACTCCAAAACTCCTCCTAATTACCCCACAATTTGAATTCCTTAAACTGGTACATTATTTACACAATAGGACCCACAAAAGACTCGTAAACCTTTTAATAATGATCATCGGGGAAACGTGAACAACATACAAGTGTGTGTGTGTGTGTGTGTGTGTGCGTGTGTGTGCGCGCGTGTGTGAGTGTGTGTGCGTGTGTGTGTGTGCGTGCGTGTGTGTGTGTGTGTGTGTGTGTGTGTGTGTGTGTGTGTAAACAGATGCAAACTCATGCCATTATCCAGTTAACATCACCTAATTATCACCCCATTGGCCTGTAATACTCACAAAGCAGCCATTGCTTACGTCACTAATCCACCTACTTGACTGTTTATCATATTAACGTCAGAAATATTCATACGAGGGATTTAACACCTTACTCACACATACACTTACTCACATACACTTACTCATACATACCTTACTCACATACTTACTCACACATACACTTACTCCTTACATACACTTACTCACACTACCTTACTCACATACCTTACTCACACATACGCCACTCACACATACACTTACTCATACACACACACTTACTCATACATACACTTACTCACACATACACTTACTCACACATACACTTACTCACACATACACTTACTCACACATACACTTACTCACACATACACTTACTCACACATACACTTACTCACACATACACTTACTCACACATACACTTACAGTAAAACAATAATCAGAAATCCTCAATTAAAATAATGATTGTGAAATATTAATCGTATAATTTAATTTAATTTAGTTATAGTTTAATTATATTGATGTAGCTTAGTTATAGTTTAATGCATAATTATATAAAGTTATTAAAGAAATTCTAAATAGTTTGGGATATTATGTTGATATGGTAATATTATAATGGTAATGTTAGTCTGAATTGAATATATTTTATCATGATATATTCAGTTTAAAGTAACTTATATTTGTCAGTCAAGGAGGAGATAAGTTTAGGTACAGTAAAACCTCTATTTAACGGACTGAATGGAAGGAAAAGTCCGTTATATCAAGGGTCCGGTAAATATTATAATTATTAATATTTTGAATTAACTTGAATTAATTAACGATGTTTTTAATGTTTTTCGTATATTGTTTTTTATTGTATTTTAGAAATATTTTTTTTATATAATATTTTTTTAGTGTTTTTCGAATAAAATTTTGTTCATATTTTTCCCATTGATCATAAGTATTTCCCTTCACAAACGTCAACTGTTCGGTGTTTAGTTTCAGGTGAATATCAAAACACAAAATTATTTTCATATATTGAGAGAAAATAATGTTGTGTTGGTGTTATTTTAGAATAAATCGTATCGGTCATATATTTTAGGTCATGTTGTCTGTTAGTTTCTTTATTACCAAACATAAACCATAAAACAAAATCCTTTCACAATAATCAATAATTTGTACTAGGAATATATTTTTAACCTAACCTAACCTAACCTAACCTAACCTAATCTAACCTAACCTAACCTAACCTAACCTAACCAAACCTAACCTAACCTAACCTAACCTAACCTAACCTAACCTAACCTAATCTAACCTAACCTAACCTAACCTAACCTAACCAAACCTAACCTAACCTAACCAAGTAATATATACCCAACGCCCGTCTCTTTTGTTTCTATTATTAACCAACAATATATTTGTATTAATCGTTTTATGGGATTTGTTTTTTTGTGATTGTTATTTGTATTGTTACCAGTTTATTATTGTTTTTTGTTATAAATAGTATTATTATTATTATTATTATTATTATTATTATTATTATTATTATTATTATTACCAGGTGTAATCAGTCGACAGTTCTTGTATGGGAAAATATAAAATAAATAAAATAAACGAAGCACTAATGGTTCATCGGGCCCTGAAGTGTGTGTCTATTGTCCAAGAGGGCCCTGAAGTGTGTCTATTGTCCCTGAGGGCCCTGAAGTGTTGTATATATTGTTCATGAGGGCCCTGAAGTGTGTCTATTGTCCTTAGGTCCCTGAAGTGTGTGTCTATTGTCCATGAGGGCCCTGAAGTATGTCTATTGTCCATGAGGGCCCTGAAGTGTGTGTATATTGTCCATGAGGGCCCTGAAGTGTGTGTCTATTGTCCATGAGGGCCCTGAAGTGTGTGTCTATTGTCCAAGGGGGTCCTGAAGTGTGCGCATAGTGTCCTTAGGGCCCTGAAGTGCGTCCCTATTGCCCACGAGAGCCCTAAGGTAGGTAAATATATTCTTCAAGTCTCTGAAAGCATGTGTATCGTTCTTGAAAGCCCTGAAATGCGTAATCACAGTACAACTGGGCCCCACTGTTGGCATAAATAACCCATGATATCCTGTCGTGCGTATAAACGGTTCCTGAGTCCTTCCTTAGCGTGAACCTGAGTGTTGAGTCCATGAAGAGAGTCCATTTGGGACATGAAGCGAGTCTGTTTGGGCCATGAAACGAGTCCATTTGGGCCATGGGTTAAACACATGGGTTAAGAGATCTATGGTCCGAGTACGAATTAAAATTTTTCTTTGTTCCATCCCAGATAAGATTTTCCACCGCTTCACAATTACCACATAAACTCTTGGACTGTGTTCTTTTAGCTTCTCAAGAATACTGATGTTAAGTCACTCTAATCCATCACATAGTTCTTGTGTTTTCAGTAAATCCACATAAAGGTCACCCAACACACACACAGCCACACACACACACGCACAGTAGCTTGTTAAATACTTCTGGTTTAGTTCTACAGAGATTCGTAATTGATATAAAAAACACCATATACGGGTTTATTTCTCCTAAAACATAAAAAAACAATGCTTAAAAATGGCGGCTGATAAAGACAGAGACTCTCCATTAGTTAGATAAGTTCTTTCTCATTAGGTCAGAAGACAAAGGTTTTAGCGTAAGGTCCTGGTAATGTTCTCGTTATTGTATATATTTATGTTTTTGTTCATTATGGTAGATCTTAAGAACAGTTCAATACTCTCCTTTGATCAGTTGTTCATACGAGTCACACTGAAACACACATTGGGTTATGCTAGAACATTGATCTCGCTAAAGTGTACTTATAAACGCCACCACTACTTGATAATCACCGTCTTGATATCACAACTGTGTAAATAAGTGATTAAGCCAAGTGTAATCACCACCACAGATATTTAATATGACATGAGGCACATTATTAATTTTTCACGTCAATATCACTGGCCTACGGTGGTGAGTAACAGAGATAGATGGAAGGAGTGAACGACAGAAGGAACGCCTTACACTGTCACGTCTACAGGGTGTCCCCGGCGGCCACCACTGAGCCACCAGCGGCGCGGCGTGTGAGTGTACGGAGGAGCTGCTCCTCTCACGGCTTGGCCCGGGTAACTAAAGCCCACACAGCCCAGCCTGCCGCCTACCCTCACACACGGTGCCCGCTCCCTACTCCGTCCATCACCCTCCTCCCACTCTTTCCTCTTCCTCTCTCCCCTCTCGATATTCTCTTCCCCTTTTTCTCCCCTCTCTCCCTCCCTCCATCACCCTCAAGCCTGTCCACGCCATCATCCAACTCTATCATCCCCCTCCCACTCTTTCCTCTCCCCTATCGTTCCCCTTTTCCCCTCTCTCCCTCTCTTCCTCCCCCCATCACCCTCAAGCCAGCCAACTCAATCACCCTCCCCTCGCACCCTTTCCTCTTTCACCTCTATCCTCTCGATCGCCTCTTCCCTTTGTCCCTCCCTCCCTCCCTTCTTCCCTCTCTCCGTCCCCTCCTCCATTATCCTGCTCCACCCCTCCCTCTCACCTCCACCCACATTGTCTCTCACACTATTCCACCCACGTCTTCCCATGTATATTCGCCCCACCCCCCTCTCACCCTCACTCCAATACTCCACCTTTTCTCCTGTTCCTTAAAGTAATATCCTTCTGAGTTCCTTTTATGGCCAGTGATATACAGCAGTGTTCTTGATAAATGATAATAATAATAATAATAACTAACATCATCAACAATAATAATAATAATAAACAATTCCTAACTACCAAATCTATTACTAATATTATCATCTACATCATTGTTATTAATATCACCAGCACACATATATCAACACAGTAAAAGGACAATAATACTCCAACTGGCTTTAAACAACAGACTGTATCGTTATTAATACCATAATTTTTACTTATTGGCCAAATGTTGTGACACTGACGGTTTAGTTATTATTATATCATTACTCTCAGGTCATTCCCATTTACTCATTCACAGTTCATCAGGTAAAGTTAATTTCCTGGCTATTAACAAAAAAAAGACCTATTTCCTCAATTACCTTGCCTTGCCTGACCTTACCTGACCTTGCGTGACCTTGCCTTGCCTGACCTTACCTGACCTTACCTGACCTTGCGTGACCTTGCCTTGCCTGACCTTACCTGACCTTGCCTTGCCTTGCCTTGCCTTGCTCGACCTGAATGTTATTATTTTTTTTTTTATATGCTTTGAACAATTTATCTACCTGAGGGGGGGTGGATAGAGGCTTAGGGGAAGTTTCTTTTTAAGGAATGCAGTAGTGGGAAGGAAGGGTGAGAGAGGGGCAAGAGAAGGGCAAGGGAGGGGTAAGAAAAGGGCAAGGGAGGGTCAAGAAAGGGCAAGAAGGGGACAAAAAGGGCAAGAGAGAGAGAGAGAGAGAGAGACAAGAAGGGCAATATTGGGGCAAGAGAAGGCGGGCAAGAAGGGCAAGTGAGGATAAAACCAATAGGAAGATCATTCACTTAACACGGGGAAGAACAGAATGCCATTTCACCTGGAGAATTCTGTGAGAAAATTCAGGTTTTGGGGAGAGAGAGAGAGAGAGAGGTGACCTAGGAACATGATAGGCATAGAGAGAGGGAGGAAGAAAGATGAATAGAGTGAAAGGAAAGGTGAATGAAAGGAGAAGAGGAGAGGTGAGGATAAGAGTAAAGGAAAGGTAAATTTATATTATACACAAAACTCATAGAAGAAACGTGACTAAACAAGACACAAACACAAAACTCGCGTAAAAAAGAAAATAAATCAATATTAAACGTAAACAAGACGATAAAGTTCCTGGTAGAAAGATTGAACGTATTGGAACTTTGTCGAACAGTTCACAACCCTACACGTAAGATCAGAGAGAGAGAGAGAGAGAGAGAGAGAGAGAGAGAGAAACTTAAGCTGGTAAAGATATTTTAGTGTCAGTCTATCATCCTACACCCTGTAAATCTATCATCCTACACCCTGTAAATCTATCATCCTACACCCTGTAAATCTATCATCCTACACCCTGTAAATATATCATCCTACACCCTGTAAATCTATCATCCTACACCCTGTAAATCTATCATCCTACACCCTGTAAATCTATCATAATAGAGCCACAAAATCCTACACCAGAAACCATCCTTGAAGTATTGAGGTAAGGATGGCGGCAGACCATTCTTCCTAGACCTTACTGACGTCATTTCGTAAATTGACGGCACTAAGGAGAGCCAGCGGGCGTGTATCATCCTGTCTTGACGTCACAATAGGATTTTGGGAGGGGTAAGTCTTTGAGTCTGGGTGATGACGTCATTGGTCTTATTTGGTGATGACGTCAGTGTTTTTCCTATTTAATGATGACGTCAGTGTTTTTCCTATTTGGTGATGACGTCAGTGTTCTTCCTATTTGATGGTGACGTCAGTGTTCTTCCTATTACTTGTGTTAAAACCTGTGAAGAAGAAAAATTAATATGTCTAAAATAGGATCTGATGATTATATGTGAATGGTGAATTACTAATGGTTAAGGGTGAACGGTTAAGGGTGAACGGTTAAGGGTGTACGGTTAATGGCTAATGGTTAAGAGTGAATGGTTAATAAATACATTGAATTTAGTGAGTTGTATTCAAGGGGATTTGGTTCAGGGATTCGAGCATCGTATTTCTAAGGGGTGAGCTTGATCCCCTGAAAGCCCTTAAGGAGATAGTTGAGACAGTAAGGGGGATACACAGAGGGGGGAGGGAGGGCAAGGGGAGGGGGTGTTATGTGGTGTGTTGAGGGTGAAGGAAAGTGGGGGTCGTGTTTGTAGGAATTACCTGTTTGTATGTACTCAGTGTTTGTGTCCCCGTGTTCTACCCACACACACACACACACACACACACACACACACACACACACACACACACACACACACACACACACACACACACACACACACACACACACACACACACATTTTCCAATAAGAAATACGAATGAAGACAGGTAATGAAGGCACACCTCAAACTAACCTTCAATATGATCATGAATCAAGGAGAAGTTTTCAGATCCTCGACACAACCAATAAAAACTCATCTTAACTCAACAGCTTCACTTCAATGACACATCTCAACACTGATAAAAAAAATACACAAATATAAATCTCCGCTAACGACCGACCCTCAGGTAAAAGTCGCAAGGTAATTACAGGTGTGAAACAGAGAAAACAAGTAATCATAGAGTATCTCAGAAGACACAGAAGTAGAAACAAGCACCTAACAAGCAAAAATCACCAGGTACATAACAAGCACAAACACCTAATAGAGAGTCTGTGAGAACGTCGAGTATGTCTTCACCAACGAGGAATAACAAAGGTGAGGCTGAAGGAAGGTTGTGTCTGGTCGAGGTGTTTCTCTGCCTTATGTCGCCCACCACACCTGAGGTCACTATCCCTTCCCTTACTCACTTACTCACTCCTTCACTCCCTCACTCCTTCACTCCCTCACTCCTTCACTCTCCTTCACTCTCCTTCACTCCCTCACTCCTTTACTTCCTTACCATCCTTACCACCTTCCTTCTCTACATCCATACTCCCTCACTACTCCCTCAATATCCATATTCTGTTTACTCCACCCTCCATCATTCTCCTCCACACCTACACTCTTCTCCCTCCTTCCTTCACCACCCACACTCTTCTCCCTCCTTCCTTCACCACCCACCTCTTCTCCTCCTTCCTTCACCACCCACACTCTCCTCCCTCCCTCCTTCTCACCGATCCCGTTCCTGTCTCCCTATCTTTTCTCCTCTCTTCCTACGGTCCCTCTTTTTCTTCCTCCTTCGCTAATCTTCTTCTTGTCTCTCTCTCTCTCTCTCTCTCTCTCTTCATTTTCTTCCGTCTTAGCTAATTCTCTCCCCCTCTCTCTCTCTCTCTCTCTCTCTCTCTCTCTCTCTCTCTCTAATGTCCTTTTGTATGTAATGTATATAATGTATGTATGTATGTATGTATGTAATGTATGTAATGTATGTAATGTATGTATGTATGTATGTATGTATGTATGATATAACATGTTTAAAACGCAAATGCTTCGTAATATACTTCAAATAGGAGTGATACCGCCCATAATAGGTTAGGTTCGGTTAGGTTAGGTTAGGTTAGGTTAGGTTAGGTTAGGTTAGGTTAGGTTGTTGGTTAGGTTGTTGGTTGGGGTAGGTGGTTGTTGGTTGTTTTGTTGGTTGTTAGGTTAGGTTAGGTTGTAGTTGGTTGGCGGTTAGGTTAGGTTAAGTTAAGTTAAGTGCTTATACTAATTGACACCCACTTTACATGTGTCGTCATCAGCAACACATCATCAGACTTTACGCCGCAGTAAAATTATAATGAAACAGATGTGATGGTCTGATTAGCATATAACATTTCCTGCCATTTTCTTGGGTGGTAGCAGCTGTGTCCGAGGCATTATTAAACCCGTGTGTGTGTGTGTGTGTGTGTGTGTGTGTGTGTGTGTGTGTGTGTGTGTGTGTGTGTGTGTGTGTGTGTGTGTGTGTGTGTGTGTGTGAACAAATAAAAAGAGTTAAGTTTCCAAGGTATATATTTTGTGTGTAAATTCCATCATTAAACAATATTTGACTAACGAATATAATTTTATGTATCTTTCAACTGAAGTGATGAAGTGTTTGTGTGTACGGGTATTTATTATTGAGAAAAATCAAATATACCGTGAATTTCTACATTGAACTTCACAGTGGCCAGACATAGCTTCCCTCCCTCCCCGGCACACACACACACACACACACCCTCACCCACACACACACACACACACACACACACACACCCACACACACACACACACACACACACACACACACACACACACACCTCCACCACACACACACACACACACACACACACACACACACACACACTCACCACACACACACACACACACACACACACACACACACACACACACACTCACACCTCACACTCACACACACACTACACCACACACACACACCACACACACACACACCTCAACAAACAGTACCTTCCATCACTCACCAAAAAAGAAAAATAAAAGCTAGCGACTCCTCGTAATGGAACTGGCTGCTGCATCAGTTTTCATGGA